ACTCCTGACCTCAGGTGATCCACCCATCTCAGCCCCCCAAAGTGCTAGAATGACAGGCATGAGCCACCATGCCTGGCCTATGATGTGAATTTTTAAAGAATATTGCTGATGTTTTAATTTTCTATTCACAAGATGTATAAGGAAGTCCTTTGTTGTTTAAAATATTGGGTCTCAGAATATAATATCCAGAAGTATGGCACCTTGGCATACTGTACTGAGTACTTTGAACTGAAGGAAACTAGAAAGGCCTCAGAAACAAGGCCTTTTCGATCTTCCTGTCTCCTCCTCCTCTTTCTCCCTCAAAGCAAGTCACGGAAATCAGAATTCCTCTTCTCCAAAGAAGGTCATGAAAACTAGAACCATCTCCCCAAAAGCAAGCCATTAAATCTAGAAATGTAACTCTCTCCCTTCTCCCCTTTCCCTTGAAGACCTTCATTACAGAGGGGTCCTCTCTCATACCAAGGAAGAAGGAATGCTATGCAGACAGGTCAACCAGTGTCTGAACAGATAGGCCTTGCAGGATACCCCCATTCAATCTATTACCATTAGGTCATGCCCTTTTGTCTAATCACATTTCTACATGACTATCCATTCTTTACTGAGCCTAAGTACATAGAGGGTTTCCTCTAGGTTTGGTGGTCCTCATTTCTGAAGGCTCCTATGTCATGTAAAATTTTGATTAAATAAATTTGTCATGCTTGTTTCTTGTTCACCTATCTTTTGTTATAGGAGTCTTGGCTATGATCCTTATGATTGGTGAGGAAAGGTATCACGCTTTTCTACCTTTACACTATCTATAACCCATAATTTAGTAGACTCTTCTTTTAGAAACTTAAATAAAATATGTATAAGTGATAGTTTATTCTCCTTGTAGGCCTCTTCAGGATTCAGAAACTCTCATTGAATATATTTATTTTCATAGCAATGTAGTGATTTGCATAGTTTCAGTAAGAATTTATTCTCCTTTTACTTGGACATAATTGGAAACATTGGTTATACAACCAAGGACTTGCCCACGATATAATATGTGAAAATTATGTTCATTCAATTAGATATGAACAGACACTTCTAAGGCACCAAAGCTGACTTTATAAAGCCAGTGCTTACAGTAAACTTGGGAAAACTGGCATGATACCTGCCTTTCAGGGTTCCCAGTCTTACAGATGAGTAAGGAAGGTCATTTCCTGGCAGGCTAGAAACTTTAGAATATTTTGAGAACCTTAAAAAAAAGAAATTCACCCACATTTTTAGGTACTATGGGCAAAATCCTTGTTTCCTAGCCTCAGGTCCACAAATAAGAAGAAGCTTTTAAAAGTCCAACCTGAGATTCTTTGTGAAAACATCCATCAAAATAAACTTAAGAAAGTGCATATGGCAAAGTAGCACATTTGGCTGCACTTTCATAGATAATTAGGTCCATTATGATGAGATGTCTTATTTTTTGATCAAGATAATTTTTGAAGCTTTTTGATCCAAAAGGAGGGGAATTTTAGTAAAAATTGTTATGTGATAGTGTAAAATGACACATCATCTATAGTGTATCCTTTAGACCTGATTTAAGAAAAATCATTGTTCTGTTTATTGTTCATTGTTCATTGTCTGAACTATTTTGCAACTCCTTGTAAGTTGTAGGTAACTGACATATAAATTCTACTTTGTCTGTTAGACATTTGGCTCCTCCACCTCACCTTCGAAAAAACAGTTTTGTCTCCATTTGTCAACATTCCTTTACTCCATAAAAATTTTAGCTCTTTTGACTTTTATTTGAACCAGTTATATCTTCCTGATTCCCTATCATATGAATAAAATAAATCTTTAATCAATTTTCATGTCTGTATGAAAGTCATGATTTCACCTTGTTCTGTAAATGATCTTTTAACAGGATATCTAATTCCTGGTTACCTTTCTGAGTTTAGGTCATAGAGTTAGTTATGTTCACCCTATTAAGGAATTTTGTGATTTAATAAAAAGTATTCACAAAGGAAGTGCTTGATCTTTCATGACATATAACTTGGATGATAA